GTGACCGCCCCGAGTACAGCATCGTGGTGGGCGTCAGCCTGACGGAGGGCTGGGGGAAGAGTTACGTTACGTACGGCCACTTCCCCCCGGCTTCTCCCAGCACCAGCTGCAGCCGAGGGGCTCCTTTCCCAACTGCTCCTGCCCAGAGCCAGCCGCACTGCGGCACCCAAGGACCCCCCACCCCCATGCCTTGGTTCTCCGGGCAGGGGGGCTGAGGCTGGGGGGGAACAGCATGAGGGCGGCCGCACAGAACAGCCCCTGGGGATCTTTTAGGATGCAGCCAGCTCTGGGGCGAGTGGCAGGTAGGAAACAGCTGCACAGGACAGTCATAGGAGCAGCCGAGATGCTCTGCGGTGGAGTGGCTTGAACGCAGCCCCATAAAACAGCCACAGTAATGGCTAAGATGCAGCTGGCTCTGGGGTGGAACACACAGCCACATACAGCAGTCCACAGGGATACATTAGCTGCCACCAGCTCCGGGGTGTGAGACTCCGAAACAGCCCCACATAGCACCGCGGAGTTATAGCCACAATGCAGCCACCTCTGGGGTGCAACACCTACAAACAGCCCCATATAATGCCCCTTAGTTGTAGCTGAGATGCGACCAGGTCTGGGGTGGAGCAAGTAACAGCCACATCGATCAGCTATTGCAATGGTTGGGATGCAGCCAACTCTGAGGTGAGACAACTCAAATGCAGCCCCATAGAACAGCCACGAGTGGCTAAGATGCAGCTGTCTCTGGGGTGGAACAGCTCCCCCCAGTGACATGACATAGCCCGTAGCAATACATAAGCTGCGACCAGCTCTGGGATGGCAGAGCTAAGAAACAGCCCCGTATAACACCCCACAGTTATAGCTAGAAAGCAGCGAGCTCTGGTGTGGAGCAGCTGGAAACAGCCCCATATAACAGCCGTAAGAACGGCTGAGATGCACCCAGCTCTGGGGTGAACCAGGTAGGCAAGGGCCACATACAACAGCTGTGATGCTGTGATGCGAACAGCTTGGGGGGGCAGGGGAAGAGCTTGAACACAGCCCCACAGAATAGCCACCGTAACGGCTAGGATGCAGCTGGCTCTGGGGCGGAACAGCTCCCCCACGGTCACATGGAACAGCCTTTAGGGATATGCGAGATGCAGCTAGCTCTGGGGTGCGAGGCTGAGAAACAGCCCCACAGCGCCGGGTAGCGATCAGTAGCTGCAGTCCGGCTGGGCCGGGGCGTCCCGCAGGCGGCGCGCTGACCTTCTCGGCGGCGGCGTCGATGGCCGACTGGTTGTAGAAGGAGGTGACGGTCTTGGAGCGCTCGCGGGCCAGCTCCAGCTGGTGCTGGTCCATGGGCCAGGTGGAGCAGG